ATCCACAATGAATGCATTCAAAAAAAAAAATATCCACAATGAATGAACTAAATATCCACAATGAATGAACTAAAAATCCACAATGAATGAACAACATAATGCTGTTGAAAGAAATCGAAATTGATTTTTTTTAAATGGGACGCGCATTTTTAGTCAAAACGACGTCGTTTTGCAACCGTGTGCACACGGTTGCACAACATAACTATTGAAGGATGATAGGAATATATGTTGGATATATAATTAGATATCTTGAACCATTAATTGGAGATTTATTTACTGCAAGATATGTAGATTGTCATTTTGATGAATATAAATTTTCAACATTAGGTGGAAAAAAATAAATAGTTGGAAAATGAAATTTCTTAAAATGAACTATCTATCACTAAATTCTTTAGATCCTAGAACAAATCAATTTGAACATGAAGTTCAAAAGCTAATTCATTTACAAAATATTGCAAATCAATTGCCAAATACATTTTCTGACCCCAAAAAATGACAAAATATCATATTCTAGTTGTGAATGCTCCAAAAAAATTGAAATCCCAGAAGAAAAACCTACAAATGCTAATGAGTCACTAGCACGCCTAAAAGGCATTGGAATGGAGTTAAACATATTTTTAGATATATGTGAGGAATAATGGATATGAGCTTATTTTATTCCAATATGGACAAAGCAAATCTAGTTGGTTTTGCAGATGCAGGGTTCCTATAAGATACTCGTAAAGCCCGATCCCAGGCAGGATATTCACATAGGGAGGGACGGCTATTTCGTGGCGTTCTACAAAGCAAACATTGGTGGCTACTTCTTCAAACCATGCAAACAAATTTATATTCATGGGGCAAGTCGTGAACGCGTGTGGTTGAGATCTATATCTTAATATATTAACATGGCGTTTGGTTGGAGAGGGGGAATTACGTGGGAAAGGAATTGCAATTCCATGGGAGATGAATTACTGGGAATAAAGTGGGAATTTAAATTCCAGTGTTTGGTTTACAGGAATAGAATTACTGGGAATTTCAATTACAATGTTTGGTATACATGGGAATTGAAAGGGAATAAGTAGTATAAAGTCCAAAATGTCCATTGTTATTGTCAGACATTAATTTTAGGTTAAAAAAGGAAGGTGTAATTTTGACACATCACTGTTTTTTTTTTTCTTCCTAAAATCCCGGGGGGGGGGGGGGGGGGCGGGGGGGGGACATGGAATTTTAATTCCATGAAAATGAGAGAATTGCAATTCCATGGAATTGCAATTCCTTTCAACCAAACAAGGAAATTTTGTGGCATTTGGAATTAGGTGGGAATTAAGTGGAAAGAGAATTTAAATTCCCTTCAACCAAACACCCTGTAAAAGAACTTGCGAATCGGATTAACAACATATAAAGAAGTTCCAACAGTATTATTTGAAGATAATGTTGCTTGCATAGCCCACTTAAAGCCATGATACATAGGTGATAGGACGAAGCATATTTCACTAAAATTCTGCTACACTCATGATCTTCAAGAAAGTGGTGAAATCAATGTCCAGTAATTTAGGTCGTGCAATAATTTAGATGATTTGTTCACTAAGGCATTACCTGCTTCAACCTTCAAGAAATTGGTTTATAAGATTGACTTGCGTCATTTGAAAAACCTTAGAGGATGTTGTTCTCAGGGGGAGTGATTCTCAGGGGGAGTAATGATTTTTTATTTACTCTTTTTCCCTTCACCAAAGTTTTTTCATTGAATTTTCTTTGATAAGATTTTTACCCCAATGCACGATATATTTGCTACCAACTTTACTCTCTTGTTTTTATTTATTTATTGAGTGAAACTTTACTCTCTTGTTTAATTGCTCTCCATCTCTATTACTTCACATTTTATTTCAAGTATCGCTATTCTTAAACTGAAATTTAAATATTTAAAAAAAAAAAAAATTAAAAGTATGAAAAGTATAAGTGCACAAATGTTAAAATTAAATAGTAATAAGTAATGGAGCAGTAAATAGAAGTCGTTGTTGAGAGAGGGATCATACGATGACAAGTAGCCAAGTAGGAAATTGCCACGGCGCCTTTTAGGTTGAAGACTAAACCTTCAGTCGCGGTCCTCGCGGAGCCACGAGAGCTTTTTCTTAGTATTCGCTCCTAACTTTCTGGAACTCGGTTCTTACAGCGAGATTGCAGAAGTGGAGCACAAAGCTGGAATCTTTCTGCTTTCTTGGATGATGGGTTGAAGAAGAAGAAGAAGAAGAATTACTGAATCAAAAGGGGGAAAAAACCCAAAAAAAAAAAAAAAAAAAGAGAGAGAAAATGGCGAGCCCTGTGGTTGGAGGAAGAATCTGCGAAGAATTTTCGCTAGGGTATTATGGAGTGTGCGCCATTGGAGGAATGTTGAGTGCTGGAACTACCCATCTCGCCATGACCCCTCTTGATGTACTCAAAGTCAATATGCAGGTTCATATTTCCCCTCTTTTACACCCTTAACATTTTCATCTTTCTAATACCTCATTGATGCAATCATAATAAGTTAGAGTATAAACTATAAAGACTCATTGATTTGGATGTCAAGTATTTTATGCTAAAAAGTGTTTGCATTTTCCAGAATCATATCCCTAATACTTGTACTATCTGATTGATTGAAACTAAATATTTGGTGATTGGAATTCACAAAACTTAGTTGAGTATTGTTAATTGTTCTAGCATAACTCAGTTGAAGTACACAGTAAATATGATCTCAGTATTCTTTGATGGTATGAGTGAAAATTCAAGGAATCAAGGGATCTGTAACTATATCCTATAAGGATTTTGGTGAAAGGAAACATCTATACAATTGAAATTAGTACTACTATTCAGGAGGAGCAGAAAGGCACTTGCACCATGCTATGATGCTTGCGCCTTCATTGCAAAATTTTCTGAATTAGACTTTTGATGTGTTGAGCATATAACCATTAATGTGCAATCTAACTATGAGCTTAAGTTTTAGTTGAGATGGAGCACATGCTTCAATTTGGTATCAGAGCCAGACCAAAAGTCATGGGTTCAAATTGGTTGCAGATAGACCAAAAGTCTTTTTCCTTCATTCTTGGGTAGCAGAACTTTTGAGTTCAAATTGGTTTTTGAATGTTTAGGTGCACCCGCTCAAGTACAAAAGTATACCAACATGCTTTAGCACTCTCCTAAGAGAACAAGGTCCCTCGGTCTTTTGGAGGGGATGGGGCGGGAAGTTTTTTGGGTATGGTGCTCAAGGTGCTTGTAGGTTTGGTCTATATGAATACTTCAAGAAGGTGTACTCGAATTTGCTGGTGGATGTGGATCAAAAGAAGAGTTTGGTATTCTTTCTGAGCAGTGCATCGTCTGAAATGATTGCTAATCTCGCTCTCTGCCCGTTTGAGGCCATCAAAGTTCGTGTTCAAGCACAGCCTCACTTCGGGAAAGGCCTTGCCGATGGATTCCCAAAGTTATACGCTTCTGAAGGAGTTCGCGGGTACAAACTCCTTTCTTCAACTTCGTTTCCCTCTATGCATTACCATTTCCTTCGGTATTGACACATTTCCTTTTCTTTTTTTTTTTTGTCGGATTCCAGCTTATACAAAGGGCTTATACCACTGTTGGGCCGTAACCTACCATGTACAGAGTAAATTCTACCGTATATAATTCTCTGTTTTTGCATTCTACTTATATGCTTTTAAATTTTAGTAATTTGTATTAATGTGATATATTCCTTTTGCAGTTTCGATGGTTATGTTTTCGACCTTCGAGCACACGGTGGATTTTCTGTACCAAAAGATAATTCAGAAACGTAAGGATGAGTGCTCACGATCTCAACAACTTGGAGTGACATGTATAGCGGGATATGCTGCCGGATCTGTTGGTAGCATCGTTTCCAATCCGGCTGACAACATCGTTGCCTCCCTTTATAACAAGAAGGCTAAGAGCCTGAAATTGGTAAACACGTTTTGCTCGTATTTTCTTGTGTATTGTTGTATATATGTATTCTTCGAGCTATATAAACTTTGGTGTTCTCGCTTCCAGGCTGTGAAAAATATCGGGGTTCTTAATTTATTTACGAGAAGTCTTCCTATAAGGATAATGCTGGTTGGTCCGTCTCTCACTTTGCAGTGGCTGTTCTATGATACCATTAAAGTTTTGAATGGATTGTAAGAACTGTTTTCCATCCTCGAATAAATTATCCTTAAAAAAATGAAAAAATTGTGTGTTTATTTCAATATGTTTGTTTGGCTAATAAGTATAAACTGTGCAGGCCAACAAGTGGGCATGTGAGCAGAGGTATTGAAGGAGATGAGTGTTGATGTTTGTAGGTAATGGCTAAGGTAACTCCATGGATGGGGAATTTTGATAGATGTAGCGAATAAGTTACAAACCATATCACCGAGGTTTTTGGCTCGAGAATTTTGTCTCAGAGGCTGCTTGGTTGACGAGTTTAGTCGGACTCGGTTTAAGGGTACTAGAATAAGTACATAGATATCGCAAAATAGTGTTTGGGGAGAAATAATACATAGTTGTGTACGGTTTGCAAGATATTAGTCCTGTGGGGTTTAGGTACTAAGTCCAAACACAGTTATTTGCGAAGGATTCTACAAAGTAAGAAACATGACAATTGGTGAAGGTCGGATTCTGGGTCCATGCAAGAAATTCTTATTATACTGCAACCTGTGACCTCCCATTTAGGAGAGTCGAGAGTTACAGTTATGCCGATTGACCAAAACGTCTGAGTTCTGCTTATACCTTGCTGCATAATACTCTGCCTCTACTTTCTTTTGCTGCATACATTTTTCATTATCAAAGGGAAAATGACAATAAATTATATGTTTGTAGCATTTTTTCTTTACAAGCCATTTATGAACAACTTATCCTTTTAAGTAATGACTGCAAATTTCTCTTGTTATACAAAAAATGGCTGATGGCATGATTCATTGGTCATTTGCTAAGATGTAAAAACATCATATCAAATAAAATTGGAAACAACCTGTAAAGTACAGGATATGGAAAAATGTATCATGTACACCAAATTTTATGACATTGCAGCTCAACTATTGTTAAATAAAAATACAAGTTAAAAAAAAATCTGATAATTTGACTCAATAATCATTCATAATACAGAAATGTAGCCACAAGGCACAGACACAAGCTCATCTAGTCATTGAGTCGTTAAAATTTTAAATTGGACTTAAAACTGCAAGATACTTTGCCCTCATTGTCACTGCTTCAGCTCAATTGTACATCTCAGTCATTTAAATCATCAAAGCAAGAATACAGGTATACATAAACAAATAAATAAAAATGAACTATAACAAGATTATACCCAAAAAAAAAAAAAAAAAAAAAAAAAAGGGGGAAGATATCTACAATTTGCATATGAAGGTTCAGGGCCATATCTGAAAAAAGAAGCTTGATTTTTCCGCAGAATGGTTGAATTTAACCAACATGTTAGCATCTCCAGCCCAATGGCAGCTCACATTTCCTGTACAATGGATAATGTAGCATGTGAGACAGTCCTTTAGGACCCAGAAGTTAATCAATAGTACAGGACACACAACATTACTAACATCTACATTTGTTAAATGGGAATTTAAGCCATTACAAAAAAATCGAGAATACCCAATCATCAAGCAATATGTGTGTGAAAGTTGAAATGTGAGCAAATTTTGAATCCATATATATGATTAGTCAACTACTCTTTTTAGAATTTACTATTCCAATATTTTTTTACAAAAAGTAGTAGATTTATTTTTTGAGTCCTGATTGAGAGATTAGTATGCATGCATTAATCACATAGGATCTGAGCTAATTATTTATTAAAGAATTACTCAATGTTATCGACCATTTCTTAGGCAGCTGGCAGGGCAATGTGATGCACATTATTTTAATGAAGCACAGTTGGCAACTTGTTGATCTAATATTGAATTGTGAGGAGAAATAACATACCTAAGAAATATTTAGGTTTTCACATATTCCATATTGTTGCGCTTACGCTTGTTGGACCTTGAGAGGAAGCATCTTTGAGTCCATGATTTCTTCTGCTTGACCGGTTGTGATTTCAGATCCCTCTTTGCGTAAAGATCAGCCATGTACTGAACAACAGCCTGAGGAGAAAATAATGCAAAATTAGAGAACGAAAAAGACCATACGGGCAGAATTCAGAAAGCCGAGAAAGACAGGAACTACCTGTGCTCCCATCTCCACTATATTTGCAGGTGGCACTTCCAGCGGGTTCCCTTCGGTTCTTAGAATTCGTAATTTGGACAGCATCCTAAATGAGTCGGGGAGAATCCTTATCTGATTATTACTCATGTCCAATTCTTCAAGCATCTCGAGGTTGCCAATTGACCTTGGCAGGGATTGGAGATCCGCAAAATTGTTGCTAATGTTCAGTTTCACGAGCGTGGTTGCGAAGCACAAGCTCTCGGGAACGGATTCGAGCTCGTTGAAACTAACGTTGAGCTCCTTCAAACTCGCCATCGATGCCATAGTGGTAGGCAACTGCCTGACGTTGTTGTAGCGCACAGACAGAACCTCCAAAGACCCGATTCGTCCTACAGCTTCAGGCAACGCTTTGAGCCGGTTATAGTCTGCACGAAGCTCCACGAGACAAGAACACTGACCAATGGTGTGGGGAAGTTCCTCGAGATCGTTAGTTTCCACGATCAATCTTTTGAGACTCACGAGCGAACTAATGCTCTCGGGGAGGACTGAGAGCATATTCGAGCTCAAATCAAGTTCCTGAAGGTGGACTAATCTAGCTATCGAAACTGGCAACGACTTCAACTGGTTTCCACTCACGTCGAGGTATACCAACTTGAGCAGATCTCCAATGTTATCTGGCAACTCGGTGATTCTGTTTCCATGCAAATCCAGTTTCTTTAATGATGAAAGTCCCCCTATAGAAGCTGGAAGAACAGCAATCCGGTTTTCGGACAAATCCAAAGTAATCAAACTTGATAACTTCCCTATTGAATCAGGAAGCCAGTCCATTTGGTCAGACAATTTGCTTCTAAGAATAAGATCTGAAGTTCCCCTCTTAGCTGACACTTCAATTAAACTAGCAAGCTTAATCAAGCTCAGTTTGTCACCATCTCTACCTATCAAGTCAACATTCAGAAAAAACAAAATTGAAATCAACATCAATGCATCATTTATGCCTAATCCATAAGATTCTTCAGATTATGCCATGATTTGTGTAATAGATTTCTGGGCAAGCATTATATAAACTCAACTAAATACCAAGAAAAAAGAATATGCTAGAAAGTAAAGAAGGGAAGGGATTGGAACTTACTTGAATTAATTGCAGGCTTTAAAGTGGAATCAAGAATCATGGTTGCCGGAGGAGTATTAACAGATCTTCCACCACCGCCAACTCCGTCCATATGGAACGCCGTTTTAGGCTTCTTCAGAAAACTGTCGTCTTTGCTGTGAAACTCAAAGGTCTTCGCGGGCTCTCTCTCGGCGTAGAAGACGGACGGCGGCGTAGCGATGGCGGTGGCGGTGGCCGGGGAGCTGAAACTGCTGCCGGACATGGAAGCGGAGTTGGCCAACGACAAACTGCTGGAATTCCTGGAGGAATTGGAGGGCGCGTAGGGCTGAGAGCTGGAAGGCAAGCATTTGGAAGCTCTCTGAACCAAATCGTCGAACACGTAATGAGCGTGCTCGAGATCCAAGAGCTTCAGAGCCTCCTTCTTCTGCTCTTTGCTCTGCAAATGAACCGTGCTCCTCTGCATCTCCTGCAACACCTTGAACAGTTCCTCGGGGACGTCTTTCCCTTTGCTCTGCCGCGCAATCGCCTCCAGCTTCACCTGATCCTCCCTCTCCACTCCGGCGAGCAACGCCTTCGCCGCCTCCACCTCCTCTATCCCCGGCCGCGCCGGCAGAGATCGGTGAAGTCTCATAATCTCATCCACAACCTCCTCAGTCGACATCGCCTTCGCACCCATTTCTCACAACTCCAAAACAAACAAAAAAATTCAAAAAATTCACTACCTATTTTACACCCAACTGTTCTACAACATTCTAACACCACACAACAAAAATTCAAACTTTAAAAGATTAAAAGAACACAATAAATTCCTTCTTCCTGGGGACAAATGGAAGCGTTTCTAAATTCCAATTCCAACAAAAATTCAAACTTTTAAGGATTAAACAAACAAATGTGTGTGAAGTGGAAGAGAAAGAGATGGGCAGAGCCTATAGAGCCGACGGAAAGAAGAAAAGATCTAAGCAATAATGGCGTCGAGCAGAGCAGAGCAGATCAGTGGGTTCAAATTATGGGATTCTGAGCTTTAATATAGAGCATTGAAAGTGGAAAAAACAACTATAAATGGAGAGTGATATACATACATACATACATACATACATATATATACATACATCATACACGGATACTTTCTTTGATCTGCAACGCCGTGAACTCGACTGTGACTCATCGGTTTATCAGAAGAAGATCCACACCCACCCACCCCACATTCCCGAAATACCCTGACTGCTAAATCCCCATTTTTTTTAACTTATTTTTTCTGATTTTTGCTAAATACTATCCTTAATTCCACCTATTTATGTTACTTTATTAATCCAGGAATCTAACCTACAATCTACTAATCGCGTTTAACGTTAATTAACGAATTAGATACTTTTTCTTGTTTTGTTTAAAATGGAATAAAAACTTAATCACATCACATGCACTCCTAATCGCAAATTATTGGGTGGACCGGCTCACACAATACCATAACAAAAAATATATCTTTAATATATTAAAAATATATTATTTATATGCTGAATATATATTATACAAAATAATGTATTTTTTAAATACAATATATATTTTAATATATTAAAATTTTAAAAATATATTATTTATGTGTTAAATATATATTATTTAATAATATAAATTACACTTTACACAATAATGATTGAACTCTAATGCCCACATTAATTAACGAATTCATTTATATAATTCCATTTAAAAATCACTTTTTAGTACCACATATACTTGTAAAAAGTTTATATACGGAGTAATAATTAAAAATGTTAATATTATAATAACAGAATAAATATTAAAAATAATAGTATTTTTCTCATAATACAATTTATTTTATTGTCTATAAGGCTATAAGTTAATTGACCTTGTCTATTAAAGAATTTCGTTAGCCCATTGGTTGGTAACATATTTAACTTATTAGTCAATTTTAATTTAATTGACTATTATTATCTGTTTGATTTGGTTAAATAATTAATGTAAGTATTTGATTAATTAACTTTTTGTAACAACTTATTGTTCCAAAATGTTAAAATTCAAAAAACTAATCAAAGCAGTTTTTTGATCCAACTTTTTGTTATTTTCTATGAAATCAGCTATTAGATAATTTATCAAACATTCTTCTACAATTAATTAATGCTATCAACTAGTTAAACCACTAACACAATCAGCTAACATCTATTTACCAAACACCCCATAATGACATGTTAGGAGTAGTGTGCAACATTATCAAATATTAAAGAGTTCTTTTAGTCACGGAATATACATGCGAGGATAAAAATTAAAAACTGAAATGAATTTTATAATTTATCTCCTTCAATGACTCTTGTGCAGGGTTTTAGAAATTTGGTATTAGTCTAACACTTTGACTGACGTAAGATGGGATATATAATGTAATTTTTATTTTTATTTTTTAAAAAAGGCACGTTTGGTAAAAAAAAAATGTAATAATTGAAAAATGGAATTGAAAAATGAGCATTAAATTAGAATGATGATTAGTTTAAGGGCAAAAGTAGGTCAACTGTTGGGGGGGTGATAATTGAATAATAATGGATAAGAGGAGGGCATAAAGGTAAATTGAGGGGTGATAAGAAGGGATAAACTGGTTTTCTGGAAAATAAATGCAAGTGGGCGCTGCAATAAATGAAGCCCAGGTGACCATGTCCCAGAAATGACACGTGTCGACAGTTCTGCTGGATAAAAGCCACGTCCAACCGTATCCAGCCTGGCCTTTTTTGCCCTTCACGCCATAACCGTTTCTCGTACCTCACTTTTTTCTTTTTCTTTTTCTTTTTTTTTTTTCCTCTGGAACTTTATTTATTTATTATAGTTTTCTGGTATTGGGTCTCTAGACTCTCTACTCCCTATGCCAAATTCCCCTTCTGGCTGCTACTGTAATTTTATTTTATTTTTTTCAAAAAAAAAAAAAAATTATTTGTTACTAGGAATTATTTATTAATTTAAAAAGTTAATTTTAAAAATAATCTCTCCACTGCTATAAAAATTAATGTAAGCAAATATATTAATTTAAAGTTATATTACATGTACTCTCAAATTTTATTCAATCACTTTTACTCTATGATGTGACAATCAATAATAGGATATTTTCATTATATGAGTCACAAAAAAAATATTTACATCAAGAATTTGTGAACGAAAATAAAAGTTGAAAGTAAAAAGTAAAAGTGTACGTAATATTTTTCGGTAATTTATACATTATTTTCAAATTTAACACAACCAATAAATACAAAATAAAAAATAAAAAATCCAAAGGTGAATACTACATTTACTCTAGAGTAATGTGACAGAAAGTCTGAAACTATGGAGTAATGTAAGGATAATTAGTGACTCTAAACTAAAGAGAAAATGCACCGCTCACAATTTGATAAATATTTATAAACTTTTAAATGTTAAAAGTGTGATGTACAAAATTACAAAGTACATTTAATGATATATAAAAGTACATTCATATTAGAACCGATATATTTTATAATTTTGTGGGATGCATGTCTACAGTTTTTACAAAAATGCTAATTCACACTTGAATCGACTTATGCATACTCAATTCAATCTCACTATTAACTTAGACTTTTTTTTTTTTTTAAAGAAAATATATATTTTTTTAAATTGAAGTGATTCTTTTTAAAGAATAAAATTATGAGATGTAACTCAAAGAGGGTAAAAGTGGAAATAGTTGGTTATGGGGAGTTTTTGGAAATAGGCTGGCTCACATGGCAGTGCTTTGAGCTGTCTTCGGTGATTGAGAGAGGTAATGCCAACTATTCTAATAATATGCTGCATCCCGTCCCTACCCTTGGGCCCTTAGCTGATAGGCCCATTTTTCTTCTAGCCCATTACTAACCAGCTGGTTTTCAAATCATAGCAATAGTTATGTTGTGGAAACGTGTTCACCATGCGCATGGTGAATACAGTGATAAATTCATAATTTTTTTTTTTGAAAACATAGATTCATAAATTTATTTTTCATTTGTTGTTAACGGGATAGATCCATAATTTCTAAGTTGTAGATTCATAATTTCTATACTGTAGATTCATAACATCTATACTGTAAATTCATAATTTCTATATTGTAGATTCATAATTTTTGTACTGTAGATTCACAATTTCTATACTGTAGATTTATAATTTCTATAATAACAAATGAAAAACAAAATTATGAATCTACGTTTTCAAAAAAAAAAAAAAAATTATGAATTTACAGTATATAAATTATGAATCTACCCCTGTGTTCACCATGCGCATAGTGAACACATTTTCACAGCATAATTTGCGAAATCATAGGCCCCCAACACTCCTTCATTTTAACTTATATTCTTTAATCGTAAATTGGTAACTTTGGGTCAATCGTTATATCATACACTAGGGTGCATAATGTATTGTGCATCTTGACCAAAAACGATGCCGTTTTTATAAATTGTGCAGGGAGTTAACACGACGAACACTATTATGTCTGTCTGATTTCGTTACAATTTTTTTAACACTTGTGTTTATGTATATTCTGTTAAGAGTTCATGTGTATTATGTTAAGAGTTTGTGTATTATATATTATGTTATGAGTTTGTGTGTATTCTATTATACAATTCTGTACATGCGAAATAGAGATTATTTTTTTAGAAGTTAACGGCAAAAATAAAAAACGACGTCGTTTTGATTAGGGCACACAATACATTGTACGTCATGGTGCACGATATAATTTGCTACTTTGGGTAGAACAAATTTTAAGGCAGTTAAACTTGAATTTTATTATTATTATTAAATTGAAAGAGATTATCTATTTTAAGTTTTAAGTTTATTTGACCAGGATTATGTGGTCCAATGGTATTCAGGTTGGATTTCCATTTGGAAAGTTGTGAGTTCGAGCCTCAGTTGAGACGTTATTAACTCTTTGTGTTTCAGTAGGTATGTAATAGAGCTAGTAACATTCAAAAAAAAAAAAGTTTATTCGATTATTTCGTTAAATTTGAATTAAAAATTATTATTATTATTATTATTAATTTGTGAATGGAGTCATGTGAGCTAGACAGACAAATTAGTTCATATAAATGAATTCTTGATAAATGTTCATTTTAATATACTGAACATTCATTTTTTAATGTATCAAAAAAAAAAAAGTTTATTCGATTATTTCGTTAAATTTGAATTAAAAATTATTATTATTATTATTATTAATTTGTGAATGGAGTCATGTGAGCTAGACAGACAAATTAGTTCATATAAATGAATTCTTGATAAATGTTCATTTTAATATACTGAACATTCATTTTTTAATGTATTAAAAATTATACAGAAAATAATATATAATATACTAAAAATGAACATGTATGTCAGTAATTTACTTTGCAAGGTAGACTACATCCGATGATATTATAATTGTGTAAGCTAAGGGGTAGGGATAATTAGTTTGATTTGGTATGTAAGTGAAAAATGAGAATTAAAATAGCAAGAGATGTTATAAAGAAACAAAAATAGCATATAACAACATATAAGTGGTTTGACATTGTAAAATGCAAATCACACAGGCAGTTGTAAGGTGTCACTTAACCTAAATTGCACACTTCATTACACACACACACAAAGCTGAGTCCTACATACTACATAATAAACTAGATTGCTAAGGTTCCTAGAGAATTATGATGACAGGTTTTCCTAGAACAGAGTTAGGAGGGGGTGGGGTGGAGGGCGGGGCCGGGGGGCGATCCCGAGTTACATTTTGAGTTGTTCTACCTCCACTGGATGCTCGCGATTCCAGACGGACTGCTATTTGAAGTTTCGAGGTGGTGGTTATGAGGGCTGACGGGGCCGCCACCACTGGACGCGCTTAGGGTTCCGAGCGAAGGTGGGCTTTTGGCGGCTCCTCCTGAAATGAGCATGCCTGGACTGGCTAGCCCTTCACAATTGCCTGCTTGCTGTTGATGAACTTCAATGCTGAAACTTCCAACAATAACCTGGAACCGATAAAAGATGTCAAAGAAAAACTCGAGAAAATTTATAGTTGTTGTTGTTGAGCATATAATATAACATAAACATAAATGTGCAATCCAACTATCAGCTTAGGTTTTTAGTTGGGATGGAGCACATGCTTCAATTTGGTATCAGAGCCATGCCCAGCGCCACACAATAAAAAAAGGTCCTGCTTGGAGCCCATCAAAAGTATTAGCCCGCACACGTGAGGGGGGCGTGGGGCGTGTTGAGCATATAATATAACATAACCACAAATGTGCAATCCAACTATCAGCTTAGGCATTCGAAGTTTGTAATGTAAGTATAGAGAATCGCGTTGTGGACAAAGACCTGAACGGGAGATGCAGCGGTTAGAAGACCTGCAACGCAACCGCCTAAAACGTGACCATCTGGTCCGGCTAGGGACACGCTCAAACCACCCGTTCTGCTGCGCTGACCACCCAGTTCCGAGAGTAGAAAGGATCCCGATAGAGACAGGATCTCGAATCGTCCCTGTACAACCATCAAAATAATGAACCTCCTTGTGCAATGCAATAACCCAATGCCCTTCAACCACGAGAGGATATGTCTGTCTGTAGTGATTTATTGAACACGAAAAATTATTGGAACACAATGCAATTCTAATCAACCTCTATTCCCTTAAGACCTTAGTACAGACCAAAACATAAACACGTTTAATGAAGGCATATGAAGTTCTTTAATGAAAGAACTTAAGATTTTTGTTTTATGAGTTGTTGGAATCTAACTATACACGATAAATACAAACCTCATAGGTCACAGTCCCACCAGACGTTGCTGCTTGGCGAAGTGTTACATTAGATATGGCACCGTTTGCTGACAGAATACAGATGGCTTGCGAGGTATTCTGAGAAAACGACATTAATTTTGCCTGCACATCCTGTCAAACAAAAACGATAAATACTTAGCTGTATGTTCAAACACAAAGCAACGTGAAGCATAGTTCAAGTATAATAATACGGAGAAAACGTGTTATAGGCAACAGTAAGTGCAAATTATTGGACATTCATACTGTTCAACAAAGTTGCATACTTCGGGCATTCCTAATTCTAAAGATTGTTGTAGTTTTCTGGAAAAGATATCTCTAAGATAAATTGCAAGAAGAATAATACAGAGTAAGCGTGTTATAGCAGTAAGTGCAAATTATCAACATACAGCACGGGAAATGCAAACATGAACGAAATGTAGAGAATAAGTTGTTCAATTATGAGCAGAGCACCAATGAGTCATCGGGAATTCATAATCAAAACATATGGCACAGAAAACGCATACAAGAACATAATGTAGGAAATATGTTGAATTATCACGAGATTTCAAGAATTATAAAACATATGGCATAGGAAATGCAGGCACGATATGAAGAATGCCAAATTTCGAATGATAAAGATAGGTTGGGGGGTGGGGGGTGGGGTAGGAACGAGAGTAATAAGACTAACACCTCTCCCGCTTTTATCGTGACAACATGCGGTTTAAATCCGAACCCTGCCCCTGCAGATCCTGCACATTTTGCATCCCATAAGTGACGGCTTCAGAGACAATACCAATTAACGCCATCAATAAACTATTGCAAGCAGCTGGACTCTTTCTGTCAATCAAATACAAGTAACATGGGAAATCACGCGTGTCTCTCACACAAAGGACTATCCTAGTTTTCCCTCACATGCTTTCATGATTTGGATGGTATGCTAATATCCTCCCAATCTGATCAAGAAAATGAGCAAAATTTGTTCTTTCTACTCTTCTACTCTTCTGTATTGAGAAACACCAGACTCAAATTCATGGCAGAAGGTTTTGCAGGAATCAGTAATCTTTTGAGTAAAAAAAAACCATCCTTCTTCATCTACACTCTTTCTATCTTTTATAATTGAGCTAATAAGATGTCAAGAACAATGCCTGAGGAAGAAGAAGAAGAAGAAGATGCAAACAAAAATATTGAACTGGGACAGAAGCAGATATTTTTCTGGGACAATAAAAGCTGCCAACTTGGATAAAAATGTTGAAAAATCTACTTCCCCAATCCCCAATAATCCAAATTTAGCTTACTGGAAATGGGAAAAGCATATTTACTAGGACTTAGAAAGAAGAAATTAGCAGCCAGATGAAAAGATTTTAAATTTTCCCCAAAAAATTTAACTAGTGGTATATATTTTTTTATGCATTATTATAAACAAACATAAATTTATACTAATTTAAAAAGGCATTCACTTAAAAAAAATAAAAAGAAAATCCTAGGAGAATGTTAAATTAACACTACTACAACTCCCTAGTAACTAAAAAAAATGGATTCTTATAATAGTTATATATATATATATATATATAAAGCACATGGGGGCAGAGAATGCAAGCAAACCTAAAGAAGCAGCAGCCATTTGGTTCTTTCGCCCAGAACCGGGAGGTCTGCCCCTCCCCTTTTTCTTCGGAGACGCGGCGGCGGTCTCCGCCGCCGCCGCGCCGGTGGGCGACAAAGATCCACCGGCAGCAGACTGCACAGCCAGCGGCGGCGGCGGCGGCGGGGATATTATCGCAGCGTTGGCGGAGCCGTCGGGAGCGTACTTCCGCGGCCTCCCTCGCTTTTTCTTAACCGCTGGTTCCGGCGCGCTAGGGTTCAGGGAAGGCTGAGCTGAAGTGATCAGCGGCGGTTCTCCTCCGGCGGGGAGCTGGTAAGAGGAGGGGGAAGAGGAAACCGGCGGCGGCATCATAAGGTTGTACATAGGCGTACCATCTTCTAGGAAGCTTGATCCGAGGCCATGAACTCCATTAGACTCCCCCAGTGACATCCTTCAATTTCTACTTTTTTTTTTTTTTTTTTTGGGATGAAAAAGATACAGTGATGCTCCTCTACTCTACTACGAGTAGTTTAGTATTATTATTATTACTGCTGATGATTAAGGAGCAAGAAGCAGGTTATGTACTAGGTCTGTAATTCTCCACGTTTGGTTCGGATTTGGGGATTGTAAATCAAACATTAAACAGGATTTTATCACTAATCTTTCTCCTTAATCTAGTTTTCTCCCGACAGTGATTATCAAATCCTGAAGTAATTAGAATAAACTCAATCTTGTAATTCTAGTCAACAAAAGATTATAATGAGGTAAACTAACATAAATTATCTATAACTATTCAAACCAAAGTCTTGTGGTTCTTATCCATATCTATTTAAACCAAGATCTTGTAATTATGAGGCGACTATGCCTTGATTGTAGAGAGGTGTTTGGTAAATTAGTTGTTAGCTGATAGTTGTTTGATATGATTTCTTTTCTCAAAAAGCTAATTGAACAATTTACTTTAAGTAGTTTTTTGAATTTTAGCATTTTGGAGTACAAAAATCTAATTAACCAAATATTTATATTTATTTTTAAACCAAGTCAAACAATTAATAGTGGTCAAATAAGTCAAAATTGGTCTATAAGCTAACTATTTTACAAAACCGGGCCATAGTAATTATGATGATCGGGATGTAGAGTCGGTATAATTTTATACCAATGAGCTAATACCATTTAGAATCTTTCGAGTATAGTAATTTTATCGCATTTAGTTATGAATTTTCAAATTGAATATCCGTGGTTCTTTAACTTTTAAATTGTTACCATCCCCGATTTAATATAATCACTCATTGTCTTTCAATTATTTAATTTTAAACCCCTATGGTCATTCTAAGAGGATCAAAACTAGTTACATTTTAAAAGTTGAAAAATCATAAGTGATTAATTTGAACCACGAATGATAACATTTTAAAATCAAAAGATCACAAGTAATCAACTTAAAGTTTAGGATTAAACATGACAAATTACTATACTGTTATGACATTAACTCTTATATCAGTTGTATGTAACTTTATATGTAAATAACATTTTTTTCGTAATTACGTATGATAAATTAAATATTAATCTTGGTTAATTGAGATTATCTAATCAGGATAGAAGGTTATAATTCCCAAAAAAAAAAAAAAACGGAATCCTATGATGAATTAGGCAGAGATGCCCTATCAAACAACCACTCACGAGTGTTACGGAATAGTAATAAATTGGAAAACGAACCAACAAAAAAAAAAAGTAAAAATAAAACAAAATAGAAGGCCGGGGTAGCGCCCCAAGAGGGAGGGAAAAGGTTTCAATTTTCAAAACAATTCTGTTTTTTTTTTTTTTTAATATATTCGTATTTTTTTTTATCATAATATTATTTTTATTTAAACAATAACTTAAAGAAAAAATAGACACAAGAAAAAAGTTAAAATTAAAATTTACATAAAACAAATAAAATATTATTCTATAATTTGGAAAATCCTTCTTACCCTTCTAATGTTTTCCTTCCCAAGACCGGGATTGACAACGCCGATTACTTACCGAAAAAAGAAAAAATTACGTAATCTTTAAGACTTTTCAATCTTCTAGTTAGACTGACTAGAATAAGCGAACTACTTCTCTACCTATTCGTCTACCTTTTTCACTTTTTAGTCAAACACTTGACAATGCCTCTCTGACCGAAGAACTTACACCCACCACGTAGAGGACATGCTAGATCCTCAATATGTGTCTCTAGACTCGCCTATATAAAGCACATTTATTGTGAATTTGTGAGGACTTTAGAAAGCTTGTCAATCCGGACCAAACCTACCCAACTTTGCTTCCATAATTTCTAATCAGAGAAGTATACTTTAACTTGTGCATACGAGAGAATTAAACACATCACTCTCCATGACATAACTTATAATTATTTAGTGTCATGAATTAACCGTCCCATTAATTAAAAAGTAAAAAATAAACCAGCAAATCAAACAATACCATACCAAGAGGGAAAATAATGAGAACAATTTTAAGGGTGAGTAGCAATTCTCCAATAATTTTACCACAAACGAAAAGCTTACTATAGCTAACAAGAAAAACATTCTATTTTTCTGGGAAAACAAAAAATGCATTTATCATTTGATTTCTCCTACAGAAAGCTTGATTTCGAGAGCATGGAAGCACCATGCACAATCACGAAAGTTGGTTTCTGAATACATTTTCTTTAATTTATAGACAAAAAAGGGTCAAAATTATAACTCTGTACATAGGTTTTTTGGGCTTGTGTTTTCTAAACAAGGTACCAAACTCAAGATTTTCGACAACTCCTTGCAGGTCCTCTTCTAAGTCTCTTGAAGGAGACTGCCTCCAGCTGCTCATCATAGTTGTCCAATGCCAGGTCGGGTGAATCATGCTTGCGATTCTTGCTTGCATCTGCACTTGACATGGCAAGACGATAACCGTGAGGAATGAGGATTGAAAAGTAATACTAAATATACGGTACACTACAAGCTTACTCATTTTTAAGGTACATAAATCTATTATCTATCAAATAAGTCATTCCATCCTGTACAGGCTGGTCACCAAAGAAAAGAGTAAATAAAAGAACTAAGAGCAGAAATCATAATCATAACCTTTTGATGCATTAGTGCCTTTTCTAGACAGTCCATGTGGAACATTCAAAGGATCCTCTCTGGATTCAAATTCAGTACGTTTTGAAGAAATTGTTATCACACCATGTTCAACCATTTGTTCAGCCATTTCGCAGTTTCCGTTGTATGGTTTCATATAGCAGAACCTATAAGGCATTAATTTTAACATCAAATTTAGTAGTATTATTTAGTAAGAAACATATAACAATCCCTGATAAATGCACCACATACTCGCACCTTCAAACACAACCGCACTTACAAGAAAATAATAATAATAATAATAATAATAATAATATAATAATAATAATAATAATAATAATAATGCAATTTCAACTTGTAAATACAGAAGTTGTGCACAATTAGTTTATTACCTAAAAAGAGATAAATGGAATGGATTGATAACAAGCTTCCGTGAAGAAGATTTAAAATAATAATAATAATAATAATAATAATAATAATAATACTTTTGGCTTTGGTGGAAAAAGAACCTAACAATTGTATCCAAAACATTTGTGTTCATAGACAATTATTTCCAATTGCGCATAACAATATCCAAACCTTTAGAATTTGGAAATTATTTTAAAAACTGGACCAACATAATGTATCAAACTTTCAACTTTATACAACTTTAAAATTCCAAAATACATTCCACAGAAAATCAAATCAAAATGAAACATTATAGCAACCTACTAATAACCAACTCAAGAAGGCTGAATTTGTTTTCTAGGGTTGAATAATAACATTGGCTATATTTGTCACATGATACAAAGATTTGGTATTAAATACCACATTTTAAGTTTGAATATAAATATCATTACCACAAAGGATCAAGTTTTTTTCACCAATAAGCCAATGTTATAAGCAAGGAATTTTCTATCTTGATTTATAAAAATCTAAACAATTTTTTTTAAAAAAAAAAAAAAACATCAGCAACATATTTGCAGACAACTACCTTGAGTTCCGTTCATGTTAAAACAATTGGTTATTATGCATGGCAATAGGTTGCATATGCAAATTATTGAGTTTCAAAATGCTAAATACATGTACTCTGCGCAAATAAATAAATTGTAAAGATCTTTTATGTAGCTGCTTCACAAACATGATAGAAATTAAATTATGATAGACAGTAGCACATATTCATTCATAAGCTTCACTTAAAGCAGTGACAAAATCAGCAGATAAATCCAGACACATGCAAAAATAAAAGAAATACCATTCTATTGGTAAAGCCCTGATGTCGAAGGCAGAAGGCAGCATTCTCCACTTTCTACATTTGTAACACTGAACCCAATCATGATCAGGTTTGTAAAAACGACTACCCTTTCTCTGTTAGAAAAATAAAATCCATGTTAATCAAAAGGATGACGTTATCAATTTCAAAGAAATAAAGTTTAATAATTGTTATTGACTCTTAGAGTTACTCAAATGAAGAATTCCAACACTTGTCCAAATTAAAAATCAAAGGAAATATGCAAGTTAAAATCATTACTTCTATCCAATGTGTTGTGATACAATAATGCAACAGGAAGTCAGGAAGTATCCCAAAACCACATTTAAATACTTGTGCTTGTGAAAATGCATCTCAGAATCATTGGCTCAAGTCCATTCACATTCCATATCAAAAAGTAAATCACTATTTAGTAAAGAATCACCAGAGTAAAAAGTTACAAAGGACGAGAAAAAGAAAGAGAATGTGATACATTCTATTTCAAGTAAACCGCAAATCTGAGACATAAAAGGAATAAGGTGACAGCAAAACACTATAATGTTATGTAATAGAAAAACATATGTAAAATCCAACTCATCAGCTAGTCATACAGAACTCATTAAATGAGGGAAAGGTACCAAAGATCAGTAAATGTAGATAACTTTAAACTTATAAACTGGTGACAAAAATAGTAGCATACCAATTCAACTTTATCTACATAATCATCAATGTAACTGTCAACTCTTTCACCCAACCATCTCTCCAGTTCAGCATAGACTTCACAATCTAAAAATCCCTGTTTATTGTTATGCACCGAAACACGGCCACAACCATCATCCTGTAACAGGGAAAAGAACACAAGATTAAGACAAACCTAGAAGTAAAAAATAGAAAAACACAAAGAAATTGTATAAGCAAAGGTTGTATATTTGTATACGCTAATTATTGATCTATAACTGTAGTATTGTACTGCATCACTACAAAATGAAGATAATTCACAAAACACACAAACCAAGTGGCAACACAAACAAGACCAAGGAGATCATTCCAGCAATGAAGTACTGCAACTAGGCAAATTTCAACCATCTTTTTTTTTTATAACATGACAAGCACAAAATCAAGTCCTCCAAAACAGTTTCAGATGCAATGTATTCCAACTCATCATTCTATGAACCCAATACAGGAAATCCATTTCACTCATAAATGATTAGTGTACCAATAGACAGACAGAATTAAGAGCATTAGTTGCTCATCATCATATGAAACAGACCATCTCTGATTAGCCATTGTGAAAGACGACTACAACATAGAA